GCCTGAGGTAGATTACCCCTCCCATCGAGCACGTTAGTTTCCTGCTTACCGCGTAAGCAACCCGCTCAACAATATAGTCTGCCTGGCAACTGATGATGTTAGCCAATCAGCTTGCCTTGCTTACTTTAACATGATTGGACACTGTATCCGTATATATACTGGTGCCACCCCTGGGGGGGAAGAAGAAGCCCGGAAGTAGAAGCCCAGAAGGAGCCGCGGAGAGCGGACCGGTAGAGGCTTCGGAGCGAAGCCCGGAAGGAGCCGCGGGGAGCGGACCAGAGGAGGCTTCGGCTGGGAGCGATCCCAGGGCAGGCTGTACGGAGAAGGAAAATAAAAAGAAAAGGTTGTCCACTACCAGACTTTGTCGTGTGTCCTTCCTGCCGGCCGGGAGCGGACATCGACAAGTGACATATTTATATGTTTATGAACGGAAGGTATAGGGTCTATTGTTTAATGAAAAACAAACTCAATGCATAGTTATTTGTAAAGAACATACCCCATGTTTCCTTAAAAACTACAAAGAAGTGGTGAGCTCAGGGGAGTGTGAACTGGAGTTCTGAGTCCAGTTTATAAGGCAGGATTAGTTCTTATTCTGGGAGTTTTTATGCTTCTTTTATGCACTTTGATGCATGCTTAAGAAATAAAAATTCTGCCATATATCCTGAACATTTCTATTCATTCAAAAAAATAAATTAGGTGATTTATTACTTTCTCAATTTGGGGCTGTGATCATCCATCTTACTTTAAGTGGCCAACAGCCTCCCTCTGGTGCTCCAGCATCTACATTAAGATCAGTTCCTTCCTCTTTTAGGGGGAGGGTGGTACTGGGGATTGACTCCAGGACCTCGCACTTGCTAAGCCAGGGCTCTTAACATAAGCTACACCCCCAACCCTTTTTTACTTTAAGATAGGCTATCACTAAGCTGTCCAGTCTGGGCTCAAACTTTCAGTCATCCTGCCTCAGCCCCTGAGTGGCAGGGATTATAGGTGTGTACCACCGGTGCCAGTTTAGTTCCTTACTCTTCATGACCACTTTTATTATGAAAAAGAAATAAACTCTCCAGTTTCTTATATATCACTTGCTGGTGAAGGAATTCCAAATTAACTAACTGAAAATTACAGTCAAATTTGCAGTTGCTTATCATTCCCAAAATCATCAGAAATAAGACCTTTTACTAAAATCATGACTATGCCTTGGCCAAAAGTTCACACACTTATTTTCTATCTGTGAATCAGAAATATTTACTATAATAAACCATAAACCCACCCATGACTTCATTCGTTCTTATTAACAGCTCTCCCACCCCGACACAGGCAGAGGCAGGAGCTGGCACCACCCATCCATCACGCCACCAGTATGCAGGTGTGCGTAGCACCTGCCAGCTGAAGGATCCCACCAGTTCCTAAAATGGGTTAGCAAGTTGGCTGTCCCAGTTCTCCGGAGGAAGCTGCCCGCAGTCTCAAGGGCATTCAGGAAACCTCACCACCCGCCCACCCCACACACTGTGCTCCAGGGTTCACAGAAGCCAGCCCCCGGCGCGTGAGCGCAGCGAGACTCCACCGTAGCACACAAGGCCCTGCTTCCGGCCCCAGCAACCACCTCCCAAAATATTGATGGCTTCCGGGGAGGGACTGGATTGCAATTTCAATCTCTAAATATTTTATAGGTGCCATGGTGCACTCTGACTTCCTCGAATATATTTCTCAAGCGAGTTTTGGATATCTCTGACGCTAAGATTGCTAGGTTCTGAGTACAATAAAAATGCAGATGGATAGGCACGGCTGGCCCATCCCGTTTCAAAATTATTCAAAACTCCTTAGGTACTGTCACAGAGGCTTTTGCACCAGTAGCCATCCCCCAAGCCGGTGGGCATTATTTACCATATGGGGCAAATTCAGAACTAAGGGAGAGGTTTGGAGGTGTGGCTGGTGCTACAGAGTAACTCAGCATGCTCAAGGCCCTGGGTTTGATCCCCAGTAGCAAAAGTTCACACGAAAAGGATGTGCTCTGTCATCATTTTCCAAAACAAGGAAGCCAGGTTTAGCGACAATGTGAATGCAAATTGTCTGTCCATGGCTATCTTTGGGAGTTCCTCACTAGGAAGAAAAACAGCAATTTTCTTTACAAGGCTTAGAGGATTTTACATTGATATTTTGAATGTCAGATAAAATCATTGCTGGCTTTACAAGTATTAGCTACATGAAGGGAGATAAAAAACAAAATACTTGGTACCAGGCAGCACACCATAAAAGCTAAAGAGCCGGAATTTTATTATACAGCCTTTCTGTGTACTTAGTTGATAAAATATTCCCACAAGACCAGCTTTTATGCCACACCGACAACATTAATCTTTGTGTATACAGTTTAAGACAAAGAAAGGCTTTCGCCAGATACTCAAGGTGGCTGAAAGCCTCAGAAAAATATAAATAAAGTTTTTTATATTTATGGTACGAACATAGAAACAAACCCAGCCACCCTCCTTTCTCCAGAAGATTTAGGGTCTTGCTGCTGTAGGGCTGATGAAGCTCGCCTATCTGACTCCAGAGAATCAGCATTCTTGCACGCGCTGCACTGTCACCACCCTAAAAGACTTGGGTCCCCACCGCGCATCTGGACCCTTCCTATTGGTCAGTTGTTCCTTGTCACAGCTAATTGGGCTTCTCACCCATGGGCGCCCCCTGGTGTCTCTAGTGAGAACAGCCCTCCTGGTCATTGTGACCACTCTTGGTCTGAGAAAATCCTCCTCCTTCCCCAGTGCTAGAATGTGCAACGCGTTTTACTTTGACTTTCCATTATCTCGATTTAAAGCCCTGTATTACTCTCACCATCTTGTTTTTGACTGATGTTCCCCTATTCTGTTTTGCTGGATAGTATCAGGTTCGAAAGTTTAGGCAATAGCTGTGAAGATAATGAGATTCATTATGACGCCCATTCTCGTTGACTTTTATCTACTTTTGAAGACCTACAATGTCTCCAATGGTTTGGCTTTGTCGGTTTTGTTCTTTACTGTTTTGTTCAATTTTATTATAACTAATGATATAGGCAATTCTATTAGAGATAGCGGGAGGCATTATGGTAACCATTGTTGATCACCTTGTATTATGTTTTTTACATTATCTATTATGTCCACCCTTTTGACTTGACCGATTCTGTTCTGTTATGTCACATTTGGTTTTACTCTCTTCCAAAAAAGTAATAAGAACCGTGGGAGCAATGAAACCCAAAATGTGTAATAGTCATGGTACAAAAGAGAGGAAAAGAAAGTGCTCTAAACTATATAACTGCATGTATATTTAAGTGTATAAGATAGAAAATGATATCACTGAGTTTTATTGGATCATTGAACAGAACTGTTTGCAGTATCATTGTTGGAATTTCCACTTTACAAGCTTTAATTTTGTGACTTGAACAATTATTTCTAAGATGACAATATGTAATCCATTAACTAGTGATTTCCTACTGTTTTTTTTCTGTAAATCTGTATAACTTGTACCCTTTCTCTGCTTTTTTTTCTCCTTAAATAAAATTTAAAAAAAAAAGAATGTGCAACAGGTTTTTAAAAATAAATAATTTAAACCGATGCACTACAATAGCATTTCTCTTTGATGCACGCTTAAGAAAATAAAAACTGTGCCAAATGTCACCAAACAAGCAGGCCGACTGTCAAACACCACTGAATTTCCCCACTGGACTGATTCTCAAGCCCAACATGGAAGATGTAGGATTAGGCAGCGGGTCCCTGTGGAGCTTAGCATAGTGGCTTCCTCAGGAAAGTCACAGGGAGGAATCGAGCGGTGGCCTGGGAAAACACAAACACAGTGGCATGCACACCAGTGAGAGACCTGGTGGCAAGAAACAGAGGTGTTGTAGAACTTCACATCCCCTTCTGTGAATGCTTTTTTTAATACACGGATCCCTTTTCGTTTTCCTTTCAATGAAAGATAAAAGGTAATCGTGCAAATGAACTCTTTCTAATTCCAGATGAAAATAAAACGCCCTGGATGATGTCATGGTGTGGTAATGGCTGTCCTAACAACGATGACAAACGCCTGGCTTGGCACTTGAGTCAGGCACATCTGAATGGGATCCTCACTTTACCACTTCTTACTACCTGGCCCTTAATCTCTGTGTCTCAGCTTTTTTAGCTGTAGAAATAACAGCAGCTCACTGAAAGGGTTTGCCAGGATTAAGTGAGATAATATGAGTTAAAAGCCCAGAATGTTGTTTGGCACATACCAAAAGCTTAATGACTGTTAGGATTTGATATTACTGTTATTACTGTAATATACTTCAGCATTCGGTAGTTAACATTTCACGTATTAATGGAGTCAGCTCTAACTGGGGGACTCATGTGTTCTGCTATTGAATTTTCCCCCCAGGAACTGCTGATCCAGGCAGTAACCTCGACTTCAACTTTTCTATTTCACACTGTGCTAAGTACAGTTCACTTCTCAGGAGAAGGAGGCCTGGCAGCCTCCCACACTATTTAAACCTAGGTGTTTGATTGTTCACTTAAAAGTATGGTCTCAAGGTGCACCCGTTTCCCTATGAGTGATTCAAGTTTATCTTTATGACAGAGTAGTACTCTACTGAGTGTAAATACCACAAATTCTTCGTTCATTCATCCACTGATAAACATACAGGCTGCTTCTAAGATTTAGTTATCATGCATTATGCTGCTATAAACATGGGCATGCATGGATCACTGTAATATGATGTCGTTAACTCTTTGGGGAATATACCTAGAAGGGAAATAGCTGGGTCTAATGGAATTTCTACTTCCAGGATTTTGACAAATCTTAATACTGATTTCCACAGTGCCTGCACTAGTTTATTAGGTCTATTCTTAATAGCTTTTCTTGGCATCTTTTGGAAAGCTGCCTGAAAACCTCAAAAAACTGGCATTGCAACTTCCTTTCTAGGCTGATTCATCTGTAAGACACCAAGATGAGTTTTCCAAGACAGAAATTATACAGAAAAAATAATCTTGCAAGCACAGTAGGGTAGGCAGAAACAATCTTTAATAGCAAAATGAAAATATAACATGTTTTTGAAAGTCTAAGATTTTATTATAGAAACTCACTTTAAACAAGTACAGCTGGGCATGGTAGTACATGCCTCTCATTCTAGCATTCAGGATCTGAGGCAGGAAGATTCCCATGAGCTCGAGGCCAGCTTGCGCTCCACAGTTGAGTTCAAGGCCAGCCTGCACTACCCAAAGATATCTTGTCTCAAAAACAACAAAAAATGTAAACACATATAAAGAAGCAATGGATAGACATCATGTAATGTGACAGAGTTTCCAGGAAGAATGACAAAGTTCTGAAGAGGGTGGGAGGTGGCAGCTGCACAATGATTTATAAATGGTTAAAACTGTAAATTTTGTAGTATGTATGTTTCGCCATTGTTAGAGTATTCTGGTGCAATAGAGAAGCAAAAGTACAAAATGATCAGGTTTATTGAGTTGAGCACATGGAAAGGAGCACACAACCCGTGGCGGCTGGGCTGTCTCCTTTGACCAAATACAAAGAGGCAGAGGGTTATATGACCTCTGATTGAAGTGGCGCATGGGGCGGATATTGATGACGTGTGAAGAACCGACTGGAATTCTCTGTGCATGCAAACAGGAAGGAGTGTTGCAATTAGGGCTGAAGAAGAAATAGGAAGTGGTAGGTGTTCCTGCTTTGGCCTTCTGCCATGTTAGACCACCACCATAATTGTACAGTAATTTGTACTAGGGCAAGAGCCTTTCACTCCCATCTTTGTATTGTGAGGAAAAGGGCGAAGGCTGTCTCTTACTGCTTCCTGCTGAACAGGGGCAACGTGCTGAGGTCTAGGGGGTTGACGGGATGACAGTTGATGCCCATGTAGAAGCTGGCACCAGGTGTTTCAGCCAGGACAAGGAATTAATCATTAGTGAACATTTGCATCCTAGATTGGAGAAATAAAAACCCAAGGTGCTATGAGGAGACAGGTCATTATCATAATTAAAGGACCCAGGAAAGGTAGAAGGAAAAATGTCCTTAATCCAAATGTGTCGTCCCATCAGGCCATGGTGAGGAAGAATCTGAAAAATAAGCACAGAGTTCAGAGGGGTAGAGGTATGACAGGTAATTATTCCCCCATTTAAAAGGGTAAAAGTTAAGAGTGTAGGTAGGACTTTGTCTTTGCTCCAGGAGTTGAGCTGGAAAGAATAAGAAGCATGAGAAATACAAGGCCTGACAGTTGAATCATGTCTGGGAAATGACAGAGTAGGGGTAGGGAGGGCTGTGACTGTGTCACTATAAGGGAGACAGATTTTAGTCTCATGTTTAACTAAACAGCTGAGGGTGGAGAGAACTAAGATAATACAGTGAAAAACTTAACTAATAGACTGTAAGGGATCAGGAACCAAATAGGATAACAAAACATGATCTAGCCTGAAAATCGTGGCAGTGGGGTCTTGGTGAGATGGAGACAGGAGATAGGAAATGAGAAGACCACTCAGAATGTTTAGAGTCGGGGGATTAGGGTTAGAAGGGCACCGCTTCACTTGAGTGATGTGGAACCAGAATGGCAGTCCAGCAACCTTGACCACCATTGAAGTTCTGAGGAAGACAGGTAAGGGACACTCCATTTTAGTTGTATTCCTGTTGAGAGAGCTGAGATTAAGGCTGGACCATTACCTGACTGGATACTCTTAGGTAGACAAAACCTTGGAATGCTTTTTTGTAACAAGACTTTAGTAACTATATCAGCAGTCTCCCTGGTTGTGGGAAAGGCTTTTTTCTATCCTGAAAAAAGTACAAATAAAGGTAAGAAGATATTTGAGAGTTTTGTGGCTGGGTGTGAGTGTAAAATCTACCTGCCAGTCCTGATTAGGGGTATGTCTGCAAAATTGATGAGTAGGAAAGGAAGGGGATGGTATGTGTCTCTTAGGAGAGGTTTTAAGATAGAGATGATAAGGTGTAAACTGTTGAGACCTGAGGATGTCTGGGTCAGCCTACATAAACACAAAGGAATCCTGACATCAGGGTGTAGGGGGTATGGTAAAAAAAAAAAAGGCATCTTTACAATCTAGGACTATGAAGTGAGTGGTGGAGGGAAGGATATGAGAGAACATAGTACAAGGGTTTGGCACCATTGGGTGAATTGGGGTAACAGCATCATTGATTACCCCAAGGACTTGTATCAGATGATATGACCCATTAGGCTTGAATACCAGGAGAAATGGGAGTATTGCAGGGTGAATGGGCAAGTTTAAGAAAAACATTGTTGAAAAGACATTTGATTATGAGTTTAAGTCCCTGTAAATGTTTAAGAACTATAGGGGAATGCAAGGAAAAATTTAAGGATCCCTGAGATTAATTAAAATAGGCATGGCATGGGTGGTGGGGTTGGAGGTATCCCAAACTATGGGGTTGACCAGAGAAGAAGAGAGGGGAAGGGATGGCTTTGCTGCACACTGTGATGATGTCTGGAGGATGAGAGCTGTGGGGAGGAAGAAGGTAAAGGGGAAGTTAAGCTTTTGGAGAAGATCCCTACCTAAAAGGGGTGCGGGACATGTTGGAATTACCAGAAAGCTATAGGTGAAGAAGAGAGTTTGGAACCTGCATGGAATGGGTCCTGTTTGAAGAAGCTGCGTAGGTTGGCTGTCAACACCCACTACAGAGACTAAGGATTTAATATAATGGGCTGAAAACTCAGGAAGAACACTATATGGCCTCTGTGTCTACAAGTACAGAGAATGTCTTGTCTGAGACCTCCAGTGAGACTCGGGGCTCTCAGAAGGATGCCTTAATGGGGGCTGTGGGTCCTGAGCCCCATCAGTCTTCAGCAGCAAGTCCAAGTAGATCAGCCAGTGATGAATGCAGTGGTGAAGAGATCTCCTGTGAGGGCAAGCATTTAGAGATGGCTTACCCACTCTCTGGCGGCTAGGACAGTCACTCTCCCAATGGCCCTTGAGATTGCGGAAGAGGCATTCTCTTGCCCAGCATCCTTTTCCTTGCACTTGAAGCATGGTCTGGGAGGGGCTTGGGCAGCTCCACCTTGTCTCCGTTTGTCTCAGAACTCCAAGTGTCATTGCTAAAAGATAAGATTGGGTTTTTTTCTTTTTTCTTTTTATCTCTGAAGGTCTCCCTGTGGGGTTCGAGGGCCAATTAGCCTTTTGTCTTGGGATCTGGCCCACAGCAGGAAGTATTTGTCTCCTCCATGGTCACAAGACATCTGGTTCTCTGTACTGGCTACTTTGAGGCCCCAGCCTTATCTGATTGCCTATAATATTTTTAACTGACCTAGCTGCCTTTTTTCCTCTGAAGAAGTAACCCAAACTGCCACGAGGGGTAATGGGTGATGACTGATCTGGCTTCTTCAGGCTGAAGGGGGTTGAAGTCATTGAAAGGCAGTCAGGGATACTCTGCAGAGCTTTTAACTAGTGGCCCTCAGTAGATAGCAGGCATTTGTATCTTTGGCAGGTGTACAGTTTTAAGTCTAAAGGAGACAAAGGCAAAGAATCAATTAAGTATGCAGGAGCCAAATAATATAACAAGATATTTATGAGTATAATTTTAGCAATGGCTTCCCATAAGGGGGATAAGGGTAAGGTCTAGGGAATTTTAGAAACACCCATGTATTCATTTGTCATACACACATTTAGGTTTTGCAGTTGTGTAAGTACCTCCTGTGCTGTTAGGATGTCTACTGTCATCTGATTTTGAAGGATGGCTTGTTTTATTACTTTTACCTTTTTACTTAGGAGAGAGATCAGCTGTAGTGTCACTTTAGGCCAGTTGAATATAGTTAATTATGGCCTCAATATACATCATATAACCTTTTTCTGTAAAAGACCTGGTGGATCTCAGTAAAAAGGAATATAAAAGGAATTTATAATTATCTCTTAATTTTAGTTGTCAAACATCCAAAAGATTTATAACAGCACAGTGCAGTAGAGGCAGTATGGTTAACATAGAAATTGTGATCCACAAACAAGCCCCCCATAGTCCCCAATCTCGAGTCCAAAAATGGGGCAAAACATGTTTTTAAAAAGTAGCAATGATTTATTTTATCCTGGGCCCAGCAACACAGTGCAGTTGGAGTTTGCAAAAGCTGTGTGTCCCCTTGAAATTTTTTAGCCCTTTTGTAGCTATCACAGTTTACAAAGTAAGAGGTTATGGGCATGGATCAGGAAATCTGCTAAGGAAATGTTTTCCTTAGCAGAGGACAGAGTAGTCTAGCAGTAATTAACAATATTTTGTCAGCTTATTTTAGCACCACACCTGTTATTTGTAGAAGGCAACAATGGTTAACATATCAATTAGGTTAGGTTCCCAGGGATTTACAATTCTTTTTTTTTTTTTTAAGGTTTGTTTTTTTTTTTTTTTTTTTTTTTTTTTTTGTCTTTTTCCTTTTTATCAGTACCAGGGATCAAACTCACGACTGCCTGTTTGCAAGGCAGGCGCTTATGCTGCTGAGCTAAATCCCCAGCCCCCGGATTTACAATTCTTTACAGAGGGGAACATTGATTAACATATCAATTAGGCCACAAGGCGGGGGGGGGGGACCCGCATACAGAACAGTAGGTGGTGTTAAGGTACTTTGGCATAATACAAACATAATGAAGCTCTTTTTGCTAGTGTATAGCATTAAATGGAACTACTATTTTCTATTAACCATGGATGTGTTAACATTTGTGCATTGAAGAAATTTGTGACATTATTTGGACTGCTCACTATTTAAGCATCTCTACGTATAACATATACATTACATAGATTTTTGTTTAAAAATTATTATTTGACTGGTGACCTCATGTTGGTTTGCCTTGGATCTCCTGGCTAGAGCACAAGAAAATGGCAGGTGTCTGGATCTGAAAGAAAATTTTTGTCATCATAATCCAAATTTTATATTTGAAGGCATGAATATACCATAAGATCAGCAACAATGAATTGTCTTAGCCATATGAACTTTAGTTGAGGTGTCTCCCATAAGGCTATGGAGATTATTAGGACCTCCAATTAATGAATAAGAGCTCGTTAAAGTTACCAGGTGGCCACTTTCTTATTCATCAATTGAAGTCTTGTCCAATCTCTCCTCATCCCAAGGGATTTTGTTTAACCAGTTTTAGCATCATTTTGACCAGGTGGCAACTGAGGTAGAAGTGTACCTTTTAAATCTGTAACTAAATAAACTTTGATTAAATGATCTGAATTGCAAAAGAAGAAGGAAAAAAGATTGTTGAGCTCAAATGAAAAGGAACAGCTGTTTACAGAGTGGACAAATGGTAAAACATGGATAGACAATCTGGACAGTATAAACAGACTTGACAAATAGACAACAGATATACAAACTGACAAACATCTTACAAAATCAGAGTACACTCAAATATATTTGGCCAATTTGAACTATAATAAATAGACCAGTGTGAACCTTTTTGTAGATTAATTAATAGATATCTCTTGAAATAAGAATAGCAGAAAAGGAACCTAATTTATGGTTACTCTAAGATAAGGGGAAAAAACATGAATATGAACTAGTCCCTCAGGACCTGCCTATTGCTAAAGGGGTTATAGGGGCTGAGGCTGAGAAGGCTGTGGAGTGAAAAGTGTAGATGGCCACTGAGCAGCCAACTGCCCAGCAGGAGTCTGTGGGCAACTACGGGGTGACTGACCACCATGTGACAGGGAAGCACAAGATGGCAACTGATTACCATGAGACTCACAACAAAATGGCTGCTGATGAGGGACTGCAAGATGGCAGCCATTTACCCTGTGACCTGTTACAAGATGGTGGCACATTGTCACGTAGAGGAGGACTGCAAGATGGTAGCTATACTCCACATGACCTGCAGCAAGATGGCTGTTGAAGACCATGTGGTATGGGATCACAAGATGATAGTCAAATACCATGTGGCCTGCTAGGCGGCTGAAATGCACACGACTGAGTATGCAGGGCCAGCAGGGAAAATGGAGACACAGGAGTAGGGGACAAAGAAGAAGAGCCATCTGATGGAATAGATTGCTCAGATGAGGGAATCAAGAAATCTGAGACCGGGGAGAGGAAGTAAGGGAAGGATTAAAGGCCACTGGGGTAAGGAAGTGGGAGAGGATGCCACAGGGGGCACAGAAACCTCTGGCTGAGAAAGCTGCAGAGCTTGGTCTTAAAGATGGGGGAGGAGTCTTAAATACAGGAGCTGCATCATCTAAGGGGTCTGGTGGGGATGGAGGGAGAGTTCCTGGTGGAGCAGAGTGAGCCAAAAGTATTTGGGCCATCATACAAGATAGAGTGGGAGAAGGACACATCCTTAAAATGAAAAAGGCCTAAATATGAAGGGTTTCTGCCAACTTGCTGCCATTGTGACAAAAGTATAAATAAAATATCTGCTTTTTGGTTTTTACAGCCTTCTTGAGGCCAAGAGCACCAAGGTTATGAACCAGGCACTCCAGAGGTGTGTGAAAGAATCTTGCTCTAGGCCAGACACTGTAGCTGGGAGGAGGCTAGGAGGCAGAACCAAGGGGCTCTATCTTCCCCACCCCTAGGAATTTACCTGTGGTGCAAAATGAATACCAATGGGCTACCTGTGCATCACTAATGCCCCTCAGGCACCACCCCAAACCTAAGCTACATGTATGCCCCCACACCACGTGTCTGTCGGAGAGAATGCCAGACCCTGGGAAGAATGCTGGACCCCGGTAGGTCAGGGGATCTCTCCCCACATTCTTAAAATAAAGGTCATTTATATTTCATACTTCTTATCTTTTCAGCCACGCCAGAATTCTATCATATGGTGCCATGACTCAGATCGGCAGGGGAATGACTTCTGGAATCCCCATTCCAAGTCCCCTGCCAATTCACAAACTGGACTGCATCCTGGATTAATTCCTCACTTCTCAACACTCGGGAGCTGCTAAACTTGTCACTGCTGTTTTGCAAACCACACTGGTCTAGTTCATTTACCACAGGTGAGCAACCTCCGGAGATTACTCAGTGCTGGGCCAGGCCCCATGAGGGTTTTCTCCCCATTCCCTGGACTCGGGTGACGCTCTCACATCCTTAGACAGCCCAAGACAGAGCCTTCCTCCATGGGCTGGGCCCCACACTGGAAAACTCTCACATCCTTTAGAGCTTTTAAGCTCTCATGGGCAGAGCCATTACTGAAATCCATGGGAAATCCACTCGTGTTGTTGGTGATGGCCAAATATCACAAGCTTTGGAACTAAATTACCAATTACTGTTCCTCTACGAGGTAAAGGTGACAATCTAACCTGGTTAGGCCACAGTCCATTGCCTCACCTGACTGTGACTCTGTGGGCCAGGCCCCACACCAGATTTTATCTTGGGGACCACTTCCTGTCCCCCCAAAAACATATCTATTTATAGCTTATCACACTGACGACAAGTTTACAAAACTCTCTATCTTTGGGCCTTTGTTTTAAGGATGTGTCCTTTCCCGCTCCTCCAGGATCCCTCCCCCTCCCCACACTGAGGACAGCCTTTCAAAGCTTTCTCAGTGTCCTCTCTTTCCTCTCCGCTTCCCCACCCACCACATGCCGCTTTCCCGCCAGGATGGGAGAAGTGCACCCCAACAGTGTTGGGATGTTCTTGGGGCCTCACACGGTGCCCCAGCTCCATGCCAGGTCCCAGCTCCATGCCACACCCCAGCTCTGCCCGGGTCCCAGCTCTGTGCCATGCCCTGCTGTGCACCCACTCTGCGTACACTGCCCCCCACCCTAAATGCTCCACCTGCGCTCCGCGCCTCTCCTGACCAGTCCTACCTCCATGCTGTGCCCTGCATGCCCCACCCACCACTCTGTGCCCTGCCTGCCTCTCTGCATGCGCTGCTCCCACCCTGGGTGCTCCGCCTGCCCTGCACCCTCTGTACTCTGCATGCTCTGCCCACCCTCCGTGTTCCATCCCGCCCTACACACCGCATGCTGGAGCAGTCCCAGCCCCTGCCCCCAAGCACAAACATGGCTCTGACAGCAAACACAGCTCCGACTGCTAGCGCAGAGACAGACACAACAGGTCGCAGCAGACAATTTATTGTTGCTGATCTGATAGTGTATTCATGCTTTCAAATATATAATTACGATTGTTTCTGCTGCTTTTTTCTAGTGTTCCAGCCATGACAAATGTTTTCTTTGAGATTCAGACATATGCTTAGAGATGTTTCACAAACTTCTTCAGTGTTCAAATGTTAAAACAACTCCTGGTTGATAACCATTTAATGTTCTATGTTAAGCTTACTGCTTATATTATACCATACTGTTACCAATCTTCTACATGTTTAACAACTAAAAATAAGAGGTAATTATAAATTTGTTTTGCTGGAAACCACTAGATCTTTCCCCAAAAGAGGTTATATGATGCATGCAAAACAAGACCAACACTGTGGCAGAAGCCAGACTTAAACCTTTCCCAGCCTGTCTGCCTGCCCTGGCTCTACCCTCCACCAAGCCATAATTAACTATATTCAACTGATATTAAATGACACCATAGCTGATCTCTCTCCTAAATAGAAAGAGAAAATTAATAAAACAGGCCATCCTCCAAAAATCAGATGGCATTAGACATTTTAATAACATAAAGAGATACTTATACATG